AAAAAAATTAGCCAGGCATGGTGGCGCATGCCTGTAATCCCAGCTACTCGGGAGGCTGAGGCAGAAGGATCGCTGGAGCCCAGGAGTTTGAGGTTGCTGTGAAGTAGGCTGACGCCACAGCACTCACTCTAGCCTGGGCAACAAAGCGAGACTCTGTCTCAAAAAAAACAAAAAAATGCTTATACTAAGAAAAGAAGAAAGACCTCAAATCAATAAACTAAAGTTTTACCTCTAGAAAAAGAAGAATAAACTAAACTGAAGCCTAGCACATGGAAGGAAATAATAATGATTACACAAGAGATAAGTAGAACAGAGAACAGAAAAATAAAATCAATGAAACTGGGAATTAGTTTCAATAACAAAGATCAATAAAGTTGAAAAACCTTGGCTAGGTTGGCCAAGCAAAAAAAATTCAAGGAACTAAAATTAGAAAAGAAAAAGGGGCATAACTATCAATTTTATAAAAATAAGAAGGATTATGAAAGGTACTCTTATGAACAGTCATACACCATCAAATTAGATAATCTGGAAGAAATGGACAAATTTCTAGAAACATACAACCTCATCAAATTATAAGGAAATAGAAAATCTAAATAGAGATCTATCTAGTAAAGAGATTAAATCAGTAATCAAAAACCTCCCAACAATGATGGCTTCATTGGTGAAGCCTACCAAACTAAAGAGGAATTAACACAAATTTTTCTCAAACTCTTCCAAAATTTGAAGTAGAGGGAACACTTCCTAACTCATTCTATGAGGTCAGCATTACCCAATTATCAAAGCCAGACAATCATACTACAGGACAAGAAAACTACAGACCAATATTCCTTATGAACACCGATATAAATATCCTCAACAAAATACTAGCAAAACAAATTAAACAGCATATTAAAAGGTTACACACCAGAACCAAGTGGGACTTATTCCTGGAATGCAAGGGTGTTCAACATACAAAAATCAATTATTTGCATTTCTATATAGTAAATGTGAACAATCTGAAAGGATATCACAAAAACAATTCTATTTACAATAGTATCAAAAAGAATAAAATACTTAGGAATAAGCTTAACTGAGGTGGCAAAAGACTTGTACACCGAAATGTAAATATGCTGAACAAAATTTAAGAAGACATAAATAAAGGAAAAGATATCCTGTGTTCATGGATTGGAAGACTTCATATAGTTAAAACATCAATACTACCCAAAGTAATATACAGATTCAATGCAATCCCTATCAAAACCCCAATGATGTTCTTGCATAAATAGAAAAATCAATCCTAAAATTCACATGGAATCTTAAAGGACCAAAATAATCAAAACTGTTGAGGGAAGATGATTGCGGAATTAATGAGATGTGGCTCATAAAATTATTATTTTATTGTATCACCCAATATTACTATATTAAAGACAGAATTGATTTCAGGAGTTTTACGTGCTTTGCCCTGAAGGAATATATAAACTCGTTAGTTTGCATATCAAGGGCTGCCTCTCCTTGGGAGGGCTCTCAAAGCTCTGGTGCCAATACCTTCCAAGAGGCTTCTCTTATCTCAGATCTGTGACACCTCCCTGATCTTGAAAGACAAGACAGGTAAATACCTGGTGTCATAGGATGGGAGCCAGAACAATAAGCGCCCTAGCCCAGAGACTCACCCCTGTGGTTATGAGCAATTTATTTATTTATTTTTTAATTTTTTTTTTTTTTGGCTTATCCTAGGCCAAGCCAATGAGCAATTTAGAATGTAGAGCTGGGCTTCCTGCTTTCTCCTGTCTCAAATCCACAATAACTAGATAAAAGAAGTATAGAGCCACTATATCTCTGTTACTCGTCTGTTAATTGATAGCTATTTCTTAGAAATTAGAAGTTAGTCCTTGAAAGATTTCATATGTCTTTGTTCACATAGATGGAATAGATTAGAAATTGTTAGAAGCCCTTTAAAAAATATTTTAACCCAAACTAAAACTACCTGTTGTTATGTAAATCTGTTACTGCTGGAACTCAAACAACCTGATATGTAAATCTGTTACCCATAACAACTGCACTACCTGTCATTATGTAAATCTGTTACCCTGGCAACTAATAACTGATATCTTTGATTATAAAAACCTGTATGAATCTAACCTCAAGGCTTCACTGTTGACAGAGATGTAATGGAGACTCCTGAGTACCCTCGCTTTTTCTTCATATAAACCTATAAAACTATACCTTTGTCTCTGTGTATTCATTTCCATTATTCTATTTCCTATTAATTTCTTATCCTCTGTGATGACTACTACCTAAGGGACCCGGTTTCACAGGGAGAAGTAGCTGATCTTCTTGCAGCCTGCCTGCACAAAGCAATCTTGTAAAAGAACAAAGTTAGTATGCCACTTCCTGATTTCCAAACTTAAGGCAAAGCTATGGTAATCAAAACAGTGGTACTGGCAGGTAATCAAAACAGTGGTACTGGCAGAAAGACGGACATATAGACAAATAGAATTGGCAGTCCAGAAACAAGCCCTGGCATAAATGATCAAATGCTTTTCAACAGTGCCAAGACTATTCAATGGGGAAAGTAGTCCTTTCAACAAATGTTTTTGAGAAAACTGGATATCCACACACGCAAATGAAGTTATACATTACACCATATACAAAAATTAACTCAAAATGAATGAAATACCTAAATGTAAGAGCTAAAAGTACAAAAACTCTTAGAAGAATCATAAGGGACAAGCTTCATGACATTAGATTTCTTGGATATGATAGTGAAAGCATAGGCAACAAAATAAATTGTACTATATCAAACTTTAAAATTTGTGTGCATCAGAGGATACTATCAATAGAATAAAAAGGGAAAGCATTTATAAATCATATAGCTGATAAGAGATTAATCTCCAGAAAATAAAGAATGCCTGTGACTCAACAACAAAAAACCCAACCCAATTCAAAAAATGGAGGAAGGACTTTAATAAGATATCTCTCCAAAGAAGATATGCAAATGTCAGTAAGCACATGAAAGACATTGTGTTCTGGGGAAAGAGGCCAAGGGTGTGGCTGGATACCTTTTGCTAAAGACATTAGATGTATAATTAATAAATCCAATCAACCCTCAGTAGAATCCAGGAATAAAGATGGGACTATCTAGAAAGAATCTGTGGAAAACCCTCGTCTGATGGCATGAATCTCCTTGACACACACGAGACCGACAAGGTTTTTAAGAAGACAGTTATACCACAGAGAACACTGCTAGCTTGGCCTGAAGGCAACAAAGGACAGACAAAGTAAATAAGACTATAAGAATTCTGGGATTCTACAGGCAGTAAAAATGGCGCTAGAGGCTGGACTGAAGGTGTAGTGAATTATCTCAACTGTGTTGCAACCCAACCCCCCTTCCCTTCCCTTAATATAAAAGGAACCTACAGTGCATACTAACTTAAGATTGTTCTTTGGGACATTAATCTGCCATCTTCTCAGCTTGCAGGCTCTCCAAATAAAAGTCGCTTTCCTTGCCTCTCCACTTATTGACTCTCCTGCAGCAAGGGTATGAGCTTGGACTCAGTTACAGAGCCATGGATACAGACGAAGAGGCTGGAGAGGGCAGTGCCACTTTTATGGACCCAGAGAAAAAAGCATCAAGCCACAAAGGATAATTCTTAGGCCTTGAAACCTTGCTGAGTTTCAAACTTGCTTGGGACCAGTGATCCCTTTAGTGCTTTCACGTTTTTCCTTTCAGAATGGGAATGTGCATTCTATGCCTGTTCCACCAATGAAGTGTAGAAGCAGATAGCATGTTTTCTGGTTTTAGAGGTCCACAAATGGAGACGAATTGTGACCCCACATGGATTCACCATCTCACCTATACCTGATTTAGATGATGAGATCTGGGACTTTTTGAGTTGATATTTAGATGGATTGCTGGAATACATTAACTTTTGGAGATGGTGGGATGGGGTTCAATATTTTTCACATGAATGGATGGGAATTTTCAAGGGCAAGAGAGCACAATGTAGGGAGTTGAAGAGTAGCCTCCAAAAGATGTATACCTGGAACCTCAGGATGTGACCTCATTCAGAATGATGGTCTTTGTAGATAACATAGGGATCACAAGAGGAAGGAATCCTGTATTAGGGTGGACTCTAAAACCAATGAGTGACTTTGAAAGGGAGAGAAAATTAGACTCAGAAGACCAGGGCTAGGAGTGGTGGCTCATGCCTGTAATCCCAACAGTTTGGGAGGCCAAGGCAGTAGGATCACTTGAGGCCATCCTGGGCAACATAGTGAGACCCCCTCTCTGAAAAAAAAAAAAAAAAGAGAGAACATAGCCAAGAATTATAGCATGTGCCTGTAGTCCCAGCTACTTGGGAGGCTGAGGAAGGGATCACTTGAGCCCAGGAGTTCAAGGTTACTGCATTGAGCTACGATCACACCACTGTATTCCAGCCTGGGCAACAGAGACAGACCTGGTCTCTTAAAAAAAAAAAAAAGGCTGGGCACGGTGGCTCACGCCTGCCTGTAATCCTAGCACTCTGGGAGGCCGAGGTGGGCGGATTGCTCAAGGTCAGGAGTTCAAAACCAGCCTGAGCAAGAGTGAGACCCTGTCTCTACTATAAATAGAAGAAATTAATTGGCCAACTAATATATATAGAAAAAAATTAGCCGGGCATGATGGTGCATGCCTGTAGTTCCAGCTACTTGGGAGGCTGAGGCAGGAGGATTGCTTGAGCCCAGGAGTTAGAGGTTACTGTGAGCTAGGCTGACGCCACGGCACTCACTCTAGCCTGGGCAACAAAGTGAGACTCTGTCTCAAAAAAGAAAAAGAAAAGAAGTCTGTGTGAAGACTGAGGCAAAGATACCAGTTTATGTTGAGCTAAAAATGACCAGCAGCAACCATAAGCTGAAAGAGACAAAGAGACAAGGAAGGATTGTCCCCTAGAGCCTTTGGAAAGAGCATGCCCTGCTAGCACCTCGATTTGGATTTATGACCTCCAGAACTGTGAGAAAATGAATTTGTAGTGTTATACCACTCAGTTTGTAGTACTTTATTATGGCAGCTCTAGGAAACTAATACATCAATATAGAAACACATAGACACAATGTATTTTTCTGAAAACAATTGTTAGCTTTCTTTTCTAAACTATCATCTCTCAATGTTTGCAGTTATGTTTTAGTTGTTAGTATGGTTGCATAGCTTTTCATAGATTTTTGGGATATTAACTATTGCTTTCTTTTTTATTTCGGCATATTATGGGGGTACAGATTTTAAGGTTTCAATAAATGCCCTTCCCCCCCCCAAAACTATTGCTTTTAATAATAAAAAGGTTGATATCAGTTTCCCTTCTCTACTGATTTCCTTATAGTATATCAGTCATATATATGGGCAATTTTTTCTTCCCAGCTTTTGATGTGCTCTTTCATATACTGTTTTTCCCCAAATAGGTTGTTTTTAAATTTTAATAGATTTGTATGGCTAAGAAATAATGATTTCTGCATAAAAATATTTGACTAATGCATTAGGGACATAGACTATCAGCCTCCAGGCTCCTTAGGGTTGGAGAGCACTCCCCCCTTTGGAAGCCACAGGGCCCTCTGGAGCACAGCTACTGCCTAAGGGTGGGTCCAGGATTTGTCTCTACTCCATGGTTTCCCAGGTGTTGTTTACTCTCTGTGTCCCTTTCTTTTTCTGTGGAACAGAGATCATTATGGCTGACTCAAGTGGATACTGCAGGGATTTGATATAAACAGACAGCATCACTTTATTGTTAAAAGAAACAGGGATCCTGGTGGGGACAAATACACAGAAAAACTGGCCCTCTGAGGCAGGCTTTGACTTTTTACCTCCAACAAGACCTCCCGATTCAGCCACAGTAAAATGCTCACACTAGAACAAAAATGGAAGCAAAATGATGAGAATGAAAATGATGACATAAAAGGGTTTCTTCTCAGGGCTTTGTTTTCAGGATCTTGAGTCAATTTGTGCTGGTCCCAGGCTGGGCCTCCTCTGGGGTCTTGCTTTTGTCCTAGAAGGAAGCACAGGAGGGAGCTGGGAGATCAGCAGAGCCAGGAGTCCTGTGTTTCAGCCCCAGGCCACTGGACTCTGCTCACCTGGCCTGAATTCCCAGGTGTCACCTTGGGCAGACCAGGGACCTCAGCAGCTCTGATGTAGTCCCATTGGTTGTCATGAAGGCACCTGGGGTGAAGGAATGACAGGTGACATCCATTAGGACCCAACTGGAGAGATACTCTTGAGGACATATTGCCATTTCCTAATCTGTGTCACAGAAACTTGTCTCCATGGTTCATTCACTGAGACATTGCAGCAGAATGAACCCTGTGGCACGGTGTGTCATGGGGAAAATTTCCGGAAAAGCCAATTGTCTCCCAGTAATGGAAAAGGGTACATGAAATTCAGAAAAATACCCTAATCCTGTTTAAAATTTGATAGTTTGGCCGGGTGTGGTGGCTCACGCCTATAATCCTAGCAACTCTGGGAGGCCGAGGGAGGAGGATCGCTTGAGCTCAGGAGTTCGAGACCAGCCTGAGCAAGAGCGAGACCCCATTTCTACTATAAATAGAAAGAAATTAGCCAAAAAACTAAAAATAGAAAAAAAATAGCTGGGTATGGTGGCGTGTGCCTGTAGTCCCAGCTACCAGGAAGGCTGAGGCAGGAGGATTGCTTTAGCCCAGGAGTTTGAGGCTGCTGTGAGCTAGGCTGACGCCACGGCACTCTAGCCCAGGCAAGAGAGTGAGACTCTGTCTCAAAAAAAAAAAAAAAAAAAAACTTGATAGCTTAATGTGTAGGGAGAAGAAGTTCAGTGTGATAATGAGCGATATAAATACCTTCAAGTACCCATTATTCACTTCCCTGCTCCTCCCAGCTCATACTGATCACTATGGACACCCAGCACTCACTTCTGAGACCACTCGAGGTTCATCCCAAATTGCGCAGAGAAAGCCTGAACCATTTTCTGCTGCTCCTGGGAGAGTGCAGCCACAGAACTGGAGTAGGGCGTGATCATTGGGATGGGGAAGGCGCTCCAGATCCCTTGGGGGCCAGTGTCCCGAATAAACAGCTCGTCATTTATGATGCACAGACTGGAGGAAAGATGGATCCTGAGATAGCTGGACAGATGGACAACCCCACAACCCCAACAGAGATCCTCCTTCTATTGCCCAGCAACGAGATTTCTTCTATACCCACATGTCCCACCTCCCAGCTTCCTTGGCTGGTACCCTCTACTCCTCCCACACCTGTAGAGATTTTCTACAGCTGCACACACTTCATAGGTTTACCTGTAACCCAGGGAAGGTTTTACATTTACATTTGCCCTTTACGACAGCCCAAAGGAATGGACAGTGGAATCACCATTTTCAGAGGAAGCCACAAAGAGGTCATGGTCATATAACTTCACCAAAGTCAGAGTGAATATTGCCTTAGGAAAGAACCTGTCTTCTGATTCTAGAGCACACACTCTTAACCACTAGACTTGGTTTTTGACAATCTTGTGAGTACCCCCAGGACTACACTGCAAAATTCCCACACAGCTGGTCCCAGGCTTGGTGTTCCCATGTTGTACCCACAACACAGCACTTACCTGGAATTGCTGGTAGGGACAGTAATGAAGATCCGAGCGAAGGCACGTACACATCCCTGAGACTTTCCCTCTACTTCAATGACAACAAACAACAATACCTGCTTAGCACTGCATGTACTTTAAGTGCTCACACAGTATTCCCCAGGCAGCGTCTTACTTGATACTCATGCTGAAGGGGGCCAGACCAGAACAACTCACTTGGAGTCAGGAGGGTATGGTGGGAATGGGGAGAGCAACAATAGGAAGAATCCACTCCCAGTGACAGGGCCCCGTGAAAACCACTTCCCAAGTTCACTTGATTCCTGTGTCACAGTAGCCCAAGAGATGGATATTATTAGCCCCACTTTGCAAATGAGGGAACTGAAGGGTTAAGTGACCACCCCAAGTTTGTAGAGTAAGGACCCGAGATGAAAGCCATCAAGCCCCACAGCCTGTGGCCTTAACATCTGAGCCATGTGGGGCAGACAGGCATGGACCTAGGTCAGAACGGGATGATTTGTGGGCAGAGTCGGGGCCGGAGAACACAGAGGGAAGAATAGGACCAAAAGGAATGAAATCAGGGAAGCTGGGAGAGTTCTGACAGGAAGCCCAGCAGGGGCAGGGGGCAGTGTGGGACCTGGGAGGGGACTCTAAGACACTCACCTTCCTTGAACACCCCACTGACAGAAAAGCAGAGCATCCTTTCCTGAAAGGGAAGAGCCCAGGGGTTCGGCATCCTCCTTAACCTGCTACCCACCTCTGGCTGTCTGGGCCTGCCTGAGGGAGGAAGCAGGCACTCACCGCCTGGAACCACACGTCCACCAGGAAGGAGCTGAGGTCATGCTGAGTTTTGGGCAACTCGCTGAGGGTGTCCACGATGTCACGTTTTGTGTGCTTCAGCAGCTGTCTCTGCAGGTCTGTGAGGGAGGAGAAGCAAAGATCAGGGGCTGCCTCACCCTGGCCCTGGGCCCCTGTGACTGTCCCCTTCACCTCCCCTTACCCTGCCCAGTCTTCCCCATTGCACACTCACAGGGGTCCTTGAGCATTTTCAGATTCCTGCTTTCCTTGAAGTACTCGCATAAGCTGCTCCTAGAAGAGCAAGAGGAACAGGAAGTGGTGGTCCAGCCAGTGCAGGTTTTCCAGGAGCCAACCTGTGTCTGCTGGGGAGCCACGTGGCCCCGGAGCAGAGTCTCAGCTGTGATACTCACGAAGCTGGGTCCTCGGGGTTGAAGGGAATGGTCAGGGAGAAGCAGGCCTCCTCGTGGTAAGCATCCAGGAGACTCTGGCGGTCTCCAGAGTCATAGATCAAGTAATACCTGTGGAGGAGAAAAGGGAACAGGCTATCTCTGTGATTTTGGTCCCAAATGAGACTTGAAAGTCACCCTGAGTAGCGCTTATGTGGCCTCACCTGTCCCAGCCCTCTCCTTCCTCAGATTCCCAGGATACTTACTGTTGCAGGAATTGCAGGACCAGATTCTTTAGTGTTTCAGATCCAAAGACACTTCCCTGGAATAACAAATTCCAGGACCACAGCTGGCACCCCCTCCTCATGCACCATCAAACACCCTGCTTGATCCTCACCTCCTCACCTTGCTGGTTGGCAACTTCTTGTGGGCTTCAGTACCACCAAGAGTTGGTCTGGGTGACTCCTGGCCATCCTGGGAAAAGGAAGAAGTCAGCAGTGCAGAGCAGGGAAGTGGCCCTGGATGATCAAGGAAAAGGATGGGCCCAGGAGAGGGTGAGGGTCAGAGATCAGGTGTGAAAGGGCACTGGAAAGTATAATATATTGGAAAGACCACAGTTAGGGTTGCCACCATTTTGTCCCCGAAGCCTGTGGGAAAACTTGTGTGAAGAAGCTCCATAGCTTTTGTCAGCTTCCCCCATGGGTCTATATCACCTTCTCCCACCCTGCCCTTGGGGTTTAAGGGTCAGATCCAAGCAGATGGACCAAGCAGATGTCCATACACAGAACAACTGGCCCTCTGGATGGATGAGACTCAGCCTTATGAGGCAGGCTTTGACTTTTCAGCCCCAACAAGACCTCCTGATTCAGTCACAGGGAAATGCTCAGACTAGAACAAAAATAGAACCAAAATGATAAGAATGAAGATGATGGCACCCAAGGGTTTCTTCTAAGAAACCCTCTCTTGTCACCTGTCCTTTTTCCACCCCAGGTGCCTTCATGACAATACTCACTCTGTGACTCCATCAAGACCTAAAGGGCTTCAGAACAGTTAGGGGTAACATCAGTGCCAATTAGAAGGGTTAACATTTAAGGAAAACACTTACCAGGCGTAATAACTTGGGGAACAATTCCAGGATGGAGCTGCCAAAGATCAAAACAATAGACAAAAGTAAGTGGAACTGTGGAGCTGCCGTACCTCACGTGTGAGCTAGCAAGCACAGCTACACCGGAGACACAGCCCGGCACGTGCCTCCTACACAGCAGAGCCCTTGTTCATGCACAACGCTGGAAAGCTCCTCTGTGGAGTGACCCAGAGGGAGATCTTCACCCCCTTCCTCCTGGGCAGCCCCCACCTGGACTGCCCTGCCTCCCTTCCCCAGCACCGTAAGCAGCAGCATTTGGAACCAGCCTCCAGGGCTTCCTTTCCTTCCCTGCCTGTTTCCTTCCTCCAGGTCCCCATAGAAGGCTCCGCAGGGAACAGGGAATGGGATGTCAGCTATGCTACCTCACTGGGTGTCCACCACTCTGCTGGACCTGGCCAGGGCCCTGGCTGATACCAGGTCACCCAACCAGGGATGGCCCAGGATGCTGGGGCAGGGAGGTGAGCGAGGCCAGGCTCAGGAGGCAAGGAGGGGACGGTAGGGTATGGCAGAAAGGGGGTGAAGGTCAGGGAGGGAGATACGGGGCAGACACAGGAGAAGAGAGGCCAAGGAGAAAGAGGAAGCAATGCAGAGGGAAGGGAAAGATGCTCTCCCATGGCGGTGGGGGGTCAGGGAGGAAGAGAGAAAAGTGCGCCTCTGCAGCTGCCCTTTCCCTCACTTGTCCCTGGCTGGCCGTGGGCACCGAGGCAGGAATGGGAACCACACACCCTTTGGGCTGTGGCTTTGGTCACCTGGGTGAGCCCAGTCTGAGCTGGGCATGGGAAATGAGCAGCCACGGGGGCAGGAGACCTTCCCCAGAAGGAGTGAAGCGTCAGGCTCCAGCTCAGCATGGGGTTGAGGGTCTGGGACCCCCTCTCAGGATCACCACGTTCTGTCCCTATGGTCCTGGTCCAGCTGTGCACATCTGAGCTGGCACCGTGCCCGAGGCGTCATTCCCATCTCGGGATACTCAGGGCTTCTCTGAAGGACCAGGCAGGATGGTGGGAGGTGCGGGGGGAGGGAGAGGCAGTACGCCGAGAGGCCTGTCCTCTGTCTCCTCAATGTCCTTCACCCTCTGCCTCCCACTCCTGCCTCGGGAAGCCCTCTGCTCCCTGGCGGTGGCTCACTTCTTGCTCCTTGATGCAGGGAACCCAGATTCCTCCCCAGGGAGGACCCAGCTCCTGCCACTGTGCCAGAGGAATGGATGTCATCACGGCAGCCACCCAGTGCCTCAGCCCTCAGCCCTCAGCCTGGGGCAGGGAAGCCACCACCTCAGCCCAGGACAGGTGGGCGGGCCTTTATGGAGCAAGGGAAGGAGGGCCCCTCTCAGAAGAGGGGGGGAAGGCCCATGTCAGCACGGAGGCAAGAAGGCCTGGCTCAGCATGGGGTCCAGGGCCCCAGGATCTGGCCCAAGGCTGAACACCCTAGTCCTGGTGAGGCGGGGAGCCCTGCTTCCTGGCGCACACTCATGGAGGGCGTCCTGGAGGAGGCTGGCTGCAGACAGGTGCTAAACACACCCCCGAGCAGGGCAAAAGGGGAGCAGGGCAAAAAGGAAAGGAGACCTCTAAGTACAGCTGAGGGACACACAGAAAGAGGAGAGGGCAGCGTGGCCTCCTCCTTCAGAAGGGCACTGTCAGGGGTAGCTCAGACTCCTAAGGGGTGACAGAAGGTACAACTGACTTTATGTTGCCGGATTTATCCGGCAAGGTGGTACACGGGGCGTTTCCGCCTGCAAGCATCTGCTGTGGCTCCAGTCCTTTCTCCTTGTCCATCTCCCCTGCAGATTCCACCTGTAATTACGCAGAAGAACCACGTGGACCAGGGAACGAGAGCCAGGAGGGTCCTGCACCCCCATTCTCCTCCCTTGCCTACAAATCCACTTCCCTGCCTCTTGTCACCACCCTGATGAGCCCTCTCACTTCCCTCCAACTAACCGTCTGAATATTACACCTCACCTCCGTTTTGGAGAGATTCAGGCTGTTGATGTTGGGGGCCTTTGGCACAGTGTCGGGCAGCTGGTAGGGTTTGCTGTTGCTCGGGTTGAGAGGTACAAGCTATGGTGAGGAAAGTTAAGAGTGAAGGCCCCAACAAGAGATATTTTAGACCAATCAGCCCTCTAGCTAATCTCTCCCACCCTCACCCTCAATCCTAACACCTGGCTTAAGGCCTCACCTTAGTCACGTTCTCTTCATGAACGCCCAGGGAGGCAGCCATGTACTTGCTAGGAGTTGCTGCCATTTCAGGATGTCTCATGAAGTCTCCAGAAAGCAGAGAGAAGTGAATCGGAAGGTTGAGAGGGGCCCAGTTGGTATAGCTCCAACGCCAACTCCTCCCCAAGTTACAATCTCTAAGTCTCCTTCCTAGTAGGATCCCTCTGCCCCCCCCCACCTGCTGTATAATTATGGTCCTTAGCCATACCTGGGTCAAATTGGAGTTTCTGAATGTCAAGAGTTTCCTGGGAGTCATCACGTTTCTTCATGGTCAGCTGCAGAGTTAGACACGGGGTTTAGCTACTCTGAAGCTGAGATGGCGAAGGGGGCAATAGGTGGGGGAAGAAGAGGTGGGTCTGGCTATGGGTGGACCACTTTATCTTGAGTCTGCATTACCTTTACTTGCTGCACCTTTTCTGACTTCGGTTCCTTGTGCACAAAGTGGGGCACATCAGAGGGACTGACAAATATTGATATCTGCAGAGAACACAAGAGGGGCTGGGTAAGCATGAGGATCTCTGAGCCCTAAGATCAAGCAAGACCTTGCCCATGTGCTTCCCTCTTGCCCCAGGGTAGCCCTGGTCATGCCCTTGACACACACCCTTTCATTATCCTGGTCCCAAATGTTGCCACTGACATTCTTCAGTGCAAAGGCGATGGTGGCATTCTCCACGAAGAAGTGGGCCTGCATTTTCTCATAGTGAAACTACAGGGAGAGTGGCAAGAAAAATAAAATGTGAGGCCAGAGTCCCTACTCATCCAGCCCACTGCCTGTCCTGTTTCCTCTCATCTGCCTCACTGTCATCTTTTACCTTGAATGGAGTGAAAGGGACACTGCATTGGCTCTGAATCAAATTTAGCAGCCACTTCTCATCATATTTTATGCCAAATGGAACCTAGGAGCAAAAGAAAGGATGAGTGAGGAGACTGACATAATGGAATTAAAGGTTAAAATTAGACCCAAACATGTTCCTTTCAGACCTTTTTTCAGGCTTTAAAATAATTTTTACAGTGGCTCATGCCTGTAATCTTAGCACTCTGGGAGGCCGAGGCGGGCGGATTGCTCGAGGTCATGAGTTTGAAACCAGCCTGAGCAAGAACAACACCCCATCTCTACTATAAATAGAAATAAATTAATTGGCCAACTAATATATATAGAAAAAATTAGCCGGGCATGGTGGTGCATGCCTGTAGTCCCAGCTACTCGGGAGGCTGAGGCAGAAGGATCGTTTGAGCTCAGGAGTTTGAGGTTGCTGTGAGCTAGGCTGACGCCATGGCACTCACTCTAGCCTGGGCAACAAAGCAAGACTCTGTCTCAAAAAAAAAAAAAAAGGACAGATTACCAATTCCCCTGCCCTCAGAAAAATACCTAGTGTCTCTACACAGTCCAACACAACGCCCCCCTTCTCCTTCTTCTGCATGTTAGATTCATTTTGTTAGGATACTCACTGTGATCTTGAACCAACTCCCTGAGGTCCTATCCAGCCTACGTCCCTGAATGCTTCTCTCTAGAGATTTTTGCTCTCTCTCCATGTTAGCCAGGGTTTTGTCTTGTTTATGAAAAGTACCTCTCCGGTGATATGGTGGAATAGCATAAGGAGTGCTGTGGGGAAGTGGAAAAAATGAAGTAGTCTATATACGCTCAGAAAGTCTTCTATACACATTTTCCCCACTGATACCAGGGCTACAATAAAGTTTGCTTGACCATTAATCTGGTCCTGTCATTCTTCTCTCTGCCAGGTCAGAGAGAAGAATGACATATTTAACTATAGGAGTATAGATTTCACTGGCTGGTATATTCCAGCCATGCCAACTGATCACTTACTATCTTACTCCAGAATCCATGTGGATATCACTTGCTGTTGCATCTCCATCTTGCTGGTGACGGGATGAAGGATGCATACTAGGACTGACTGGTTCAGCCCAGTTGGGAAATCTCCTTCGGTAAATACCCCAGCATCTTGCTCTTCTTTGAACAGAGTTAACTTGGTGATTGTGCCCTTAAATTAAGAAAAACACATCAATGTTTGGAATACCAGAAAAAGTACATAGAAAATGTCATGGATGGGGCTGGGCACAGTGGCTCACGCCTGTAATCTTAGCACTCTGGGAGGCCGAGGTGGGAGGATCATTTGAGCTCAGGAGTTTGAGACCAGCCTGAGCAAGAGCCAGACCCTATCTCTACTAAAAATAGAAAGAAATTATCTGGACATCTAAAAATATATAGAAAAAATTAGCAAGGCATGGTGGCACATGCCTATAGTCCGAGCTACTCGGAAGGCTGAGGCCACAGCATTCTAGCCCAGGCAACAGAGTGAGACTCTGTCTCAAAAAAAAAAAAAAAAAACCAAAAAGAAAAAGAAAAGAAAAAAAAAAAAAGGAAATCTCATCATTAATGAAGAAATATCACTGATTTTTATAATCTCAAAAGAAATATATCATAGTGCCAGAAAGGTTGAAAGACTTCACTGTGGTTTCACTTCCTGGCAAATGAGAAGGGGGGAGCATTTGCAGCCAAGGAGAAAACAAGCAGGAAGGGTTTGGGGTCTAATCTGTGATGTTAATTCCTGCTCTGCCCTTTTCAGGCTGGGTGACCAAGGACAAGCTGCTTATCATCTCTAGCCCTCACCTTCCTCCTCTGCTTGTAGCATAATAAAATCTACCCTGAAACCTTACTGTTATGGTACAAAGGTCAAAGGCAAGTTCCCTGGGAAGGCTCAGAGAAATGAAAACATGGCTGAAGAAAATATACCCAGAATGAATCCTGAGAGACTTAATTATGGATAATACCAAAAGAGTGGGGGAGAAAATTAAAGGAGACATGGTAAGTATACCTAACACATGTTTGAGTCCCAGAAATAAGAGGGAACAATGGAAAAGCAGTGTTTGGAGAGATCTTGGTTAAGAAGTTTCCAAAAGCAACAAGACATGAAGTCAGTATAAAAATATTTATAGGAGAAAATGTATACTTTAAGGGAATATATAGGCTGGGCATGCTGGCTCACGTCTGTAATCCTAGCACTCTGGGAGGCTGAGGTGGGAGGATTGCTTGAGCTCAGGAATTCAAGACCAGCCTGAGCAATAGCAAAACCTCCTGTCTCTACTAAAAAATAGAAAAAATTAGCTGGGCGTGGTGACACACATCTGTAGTCCCAGCTACTTGGGAGGCTGAGGCAGGAGGATTGCCTGAGCCCAGGAGTTTGAGGTTGCAGTGAGCTATAACGATGCCATTGCACTCTACCCAGGGTGACAGAGTGAGACTCTATCTCAAAAAAATAAAAATAAAAAATAAGGGAAAACATTCCCAAAGACATACATTTCATGATGATGTTAATGTAAGAAAACTGGGCAAAACTGTGACCAGTAACCTCAAACTCAAGGAAACATTGAATGTTCCTCATGTAGAAAAAATATGATCCCCGATAGAGGTACGTAAGGGCAAGAAGAAAGACCAATGGCATTTGTGAATGTGTAGGCAAATATTAAGTGAGAATTAACTACATAACACAATGATAATTTCTTCTGGGGAGTTTTTTTTTTTTTTTTTTTTTTTTTTGAGACAGAGTCTCACTTTGTTGTCCAGGCTAGAGTGAGTGCCATGGCGTCAGCCTAGCTCACAGCAACCTCAAACTCCTGGGCTTGAGTGATCCTTCTGCCTCAGCCTCCCAAGTAGCTGGGACTACAGGCATGCGCCACCATGCCCGGCTAATTTTTTATATATATATCAGTTGGCCAATTAATTTCTTTCTATTTATAGTAGAGACGGGGTCTCGCTCTTGCTCAGGCTGGTTTTGAACTCCTGACCTTGAGCAATCCGCCCGCCTCGGCCTCCCAAGAGCTAGGATTACAGGCGTGAGCCACAGCGCCCGGCCATGGGGAGTTTTAATAGAGAATTAAAATGCATGATAATAAATCAGGAACAGCTAAATGGAGTCAAAGTGTTCTAAGGTCCTGGCATTGTTTGAGACAGGAAAGAACTAATTTACCTTAGACTATGACAGGGCAAAGACCTACATTATAATCTTAAGGGTAAACACTACAAGAATGGCAGAAAACTATTTAACTTTCTAACCAAATGAGATAAAAATTTAATAGTTAAAAAATATTAATCATTTCAAAGGAGAGGAAAAGGAACCTAGAAAAGACAAAAATATACTTTCCTCAAAGTTGAGAGAAAAGTAAAATAAAGAAAAAAAAGACAAAAATAAATGTATAATAATATGGTCTATTAAAACCAGATTAAATCTGTAGTTTCATTAAAAGTAGTCAGAATTCTAAGGATACCCTAATCATGAAAAAAAAAAAAAAAAAAAAAAAAAGTAGTCAGACTAAATTGAAAGGCAGAGTATCAGACTAGATTTTTAAAAGATTCCATCAAATCCTCCTTAAGAATATAAAAGTTAATGATATAGAAAATTCAAATAAAAAGGCAAGATATATACCATTTACACACTAACCAACTGAAAGTTTGTATAGCCATTAGTAAGAGAAAAAGTATACTTTAAAAAAAATACTAGAGAAAAAGATTTTCATAATGATTAAATGTTCAATTCAACAAGAAGATATTAAGAAAACAATTCCAAATTTGTATGCATGTCTTAACAGAGCCAAAGCATACAAAGCAAATAATGATCTAAGTAAATGGAGAAATGGACAAATCCACAATCACTGTAGGAAATTTTAATACACTTCACTGAGTAACAGATAAAGCCAGCAGAGAAAAATTCAGCTACATAGAAAAGATTTAAATAACACAACAAACCTGCTTAAATGACATAGAACACCATACATAAAAACTACACATGGAACGTTCCAGAACAGGTCATATGCTAAACCATAAAGCAAGCCTTGGGAAACTTCTAGTAGTGTAATGCAATCTACCCTGAATGGTTGGTATGAATATTTGAGGGTACTGATGGGTTCCCTGTCCCTCTCCCACCTCTAGTATAAATCCACGGAATGTTAATTTCTACCAACCCTTACCCTAGGTGACCCTCCCCATATCTCAAACCCTGTACCTGAGAAGACTACATGACTCAGGCCTGGGCGCTTGCTACTGCCCACCCCCATCTACATGGAGGTTGGCTGGGTGTTCTGTGAGTTGGGTAGAGTTAGGGGAGGGGGCCCAGAGGTCCTAGCCTCATGCTGATCAACTCACCCATGGTGTGTCCTGAAGGCAGTGACCTGTCACCAGTGTCCTCACAGTGCTCTCTTGAGAATCTGTATGTTCTGGAGCTGGGAGTTTGAAGATCGAGGAAGGCTGCTGAGGAAGGCAGAATGCAGGCCCCTAGTTACTTTGTTAGAGCCACATGACCAAGATGGAGTCCTTACAGGAAGTCTATCACCGAAAGCAGAGAGAGGAGTACCCTGGAGGCCAGAGGAGCCTTAACATCCTGTTCTTACTGCCCCCTAGGTTTGCTACCTGCCTAACACCCAGTAAGCTGTTTCCAAGGGAGTGGAGGCTTTGGACCCAGGTACTTCTTGATACAAGCACAGAGAACTCGGCTTGCCAGGCTGAGTTGGCTGTATTACATTGTATTCATTGATTCTGCAAACTCAGAGAACTTGTGATTCCCTGCTGTAGGCCAGGCTCTGTACTTGCTACATTACATCTTCTTTTTCATATGTTCCTCACAAGGGGACTCTGATTACAGAATCACCAGCTTCCTGGAGTTTCTGAGGTTTAATGAGGTACAGGAGCTTGTCTGGAGTCATTCAGATGTTACCTGGAGAAATAGAGTGAAAATGAGAACCATGGAATGGTGGGTAACCCCTCCATGCACTAAAGTCTTTTAGGGCAAAGTAACAGAATGTTCTGAAAATATTCATGTGGCTAGAACTAACTCCAGCCCATCTCAGAGGGAGAATACAAAAAACGGACCAGGAAAATACAAAGGAAATAGCAAACAAAGTTTAGTGGGCCACTGTAATGATGGCAGAAAAAACATCTACTCTAATAAAAGGAGGTCCTAGGTGGAGGTCAGGGGATTGTTTTCAGAGGAGATGGGACAATAGATTACAATCATCAACTTGTAGTTGAACAGTAACTGCCTGAAGCTGAGAACCCATCCTTTAAAAGCTCTGTATTTCTGCTTATTGTTAGGACGATAGCATTTCAGACAGGAGTCTCCATCCTCTTCCTCCTTTGCCGGCAAAGTCATAAAAATTCTCTTTCCTTCTCCTCAAGACACTTGTTCTCATTCTTCTGATGCGGCCTCGAGGACAAATGGCTGAGCTTTCGGCAACAGAGGTATCCACATATGAGTGTGTGAACATTTGGGGTGAAGGAAGCGTAAGGCAGAAAAACATATACCTACATAAACTTGTCAGGTCAGGGGTTGAAAAAAAAATTTTTTTTTTTAATAAAACAACATCACATGAACAGTTTTATAAAATGGTAAATGCTATGGTTTGAATGTTTGTGTTCCTCTAAAATTTATGTTGAAACTTAATTCCCAATGTGACAGCATTAAGAGGTGGGGACTTTAGGAAGGGATCAGGCCATGGACAGCTCCAACCTCAAAGATGGGATTAGTGTCTTTATAAAAAGGCTTGAGGGTAAGAAGTTTGTCCCTTTTTGCCCTTTTTGTCATGTGTGGATGCAGCAACGGTGCCATCAACAAAGCAGAGAGCAAGCCTCCACCAGACACCAAACCTGGGGATACCTTGATCTTGTATTTTCCAGCCTCCAGTACTTTGAGAAATGAATTTATACTATTCTAAGATATTTAGTATAGCAGCCACAAACAGACTAACATAGTAAACATATGGAAACTTATTTGCCAATTAGTTATTAGATACTTTCAGGTATCTCTCAAGAAAGTTGCCTAATGATAACATATTAAACACTAAAAATGTACATTTAGAAAATGAAGTCATTCTGCATTTTTTATCCATAAGATCCCCTCACCATGACCCACAGATATCCAATGTAATTACACAATGCGATAGATACTTGTTTTCCAGATGTGTGACTTTTGAGGTCATGTGTGTACATACCTTAAAATATTTGTGTGTGTATAATATATATTCTTTTATTGCTTTCCACAGTTTTCCCCACATGGGAAACTGCCAGCTAGTGGATTTCCACACTGGATTTCCCAAGGGATGAATAAGATCGTAAGTTATTCCCTTCCTGTTGTATCTGGTTAGTCTCCTCTTAGCCCTGGCTAATGCCTCCTGTCCAAACAATGTTCTCCTAGAAATTTTATTTCACAATTCCCCTCTTTTGGTCAAGCTCTCATCTAGGGGAAGTATGACCGAGACTTAGGGCATCAGCACTACTCTCAGCTTCCATCACTTTGGGTCTCTGGTCTCAGCATACCATGTTAGGTTACAGTATCCTCATTATTATACATTTCTTTGACTTTTGTTGTTCCATCCAAAGAGACCATTTGCTATTTAACAGATGGCTGTATGGAAACATTTAAAACCTTGTGTGGTCAATATGTGTAAATGTTTCAGGTTTTGTTTACAAAAGTATTCTTTACCAAATTGCTGTAAACTATAGATAGCTTAAAAAGAAAAAAAGGATTTCTTTAAATCTGAAAAACATTAAAAGAACTAGCCAAGTTTCAAATTTTAAAAAAAAGCCTTTAAAAAAAAGCCTTAAAACCCACAATTTTTCATCAGTTCATTCAATCTCATATAATTCTTACTCTGATCTTGGTTAGCATTTTCATAAACCCAGTTTCTTCATTAGAGTTTTGGAGAGTTACTCCAATAGTATGAACTCAAAGTTATTGGAAACCTGGACTTGTCAGAGTTCTTTTCATTCTTTACGTGAACCTCCTTGAAGACATAACATTTTAGGATATGTAGGGAGCAAGGCCCTTGGCCCCATAAAGGTTCACTGAAAAATCACTGACATAAGGCAGACTAATGGGAGAAAAGACATACAAATTTAATGTGTATACATAGGAACCTTCAGAATGAAAACTCAATTCCTCAGTGAGGTACAGAAGTTTTTTTTTTTTTTCTTTCTTTTTTGAGACAGTCTCTTGCTCTGTTGCCTGGGCTACAGGGCTGTGGCATCAGCCTAGCTCACAGCAATCTCAAACTCCTGGGCTCAAGCAATCCTCCTGCCTCAGCCTCCCAAGTAGCTGGGACTACAGGCATGCGCCACCATGCCCGGCTAACTTTTTTCTATATATTTTTAGTTGTCCAGCTAATTTCCTTCTGTTTTTAGTACAGACGGGGTCTCATTCTTGCTCAGGCTGGTCTCCAACTCCTGAACTCAAAGGATCCTCCCACCTTGGCCTTCTAGAGTGCTGGGATTACAGGCTTGAGCCACCATGCCCAGCTGGTATAGAGGTTTATAAAAGAATGGGGACTTGGATTGTAGCCAAACAGGTTTTTGGTGGCAAGACAGGTTATAGGAGAGAAAAAGGAAGCTTGGCTAGCAAAGGTGGTCTTGTTATGCAGATAAATCCTCACAGGTAGCAGCCCTCAGAGAGAAAAGATGGTAAATGTTCCTTTTCAGATCTTTGAAGGTGTCAGACTCTGTTTCTCAGAGCTGGCAAACAGAAATAACCTTGCAAAACTCTCTTTTGTTGGGGGGCATTTGCACCTGTAGATAATCTGTATTGACGCAGCCAGGCTTTCTCTGAGGCTCTCCTTAGTCCCAATCTAGGAGAGATTAACTGAGAGTCAAAGACCAAAAAGGTCTTGAAAGAAATATTTACCATTCATTCTGTCTGATGGCTGCTACCTCTGAGGTTTCATCTACATAACAAGACCACAATAGTAACAGTAACAGTCCCTCCATCTTAAAGCTAACAAATAATTCTTTCTTTTACAATGCCTAATTGTATGTTGAAGAATTCCAGGAACTGGCTTTGAGCAGTTTATAGGACAACTCCCTGGAGGAAAATGCTGAGCAGTTCAACTTCAATTCCATTGCAATCTAGCTGATACCAGCCAGATGGCCCATTACTCAACCATTGGAAACAAGAAATGCAGACCTCCGTGTGGCCGCCGCGCCCAAGCCTCCTTCCCCTTTAAAAGTCCTTCCTTAGCCTGAGAAACTTGAGATAGCCTTTGCAACATGAATCCATCATCTCCTTAGGATACTGGCTCTTGAAGTAAACTTGCTTTCCCTACCACCAGCTCTTTATCTCTCAGGGGCTTGGCTTTTTTGACCCGTGGGCAACCGAGCCTGCATTTGCTTACACCTCTGCAAGCCAGGCCTTGTCCTCTTCTCCCTCCCATAACCTGCCTTACCATTATAATCCGATTTACCATCACAGCCTGGGTTTGGCTGTGCTCCAAGCCCCTATTCTTTTGGTAACCTCAAAATGGTGTATCTAAGCTTCTATACTCCATTGGGGGGTTAGGATAATCACTCTGTGTTTTTCCCTGTGTAAATCAATACATTTGTGGGCAATTTCACCTATTAATCTGCTTTTTGTGAGTTGATGTTTCAGGACACCTTCACAGATTCAATCCCCCATTCCATTGCCCCAAGAGATTGCTAGCCAGTCAACTCTTAATTTGCATTTCCAAAGGATGACTCTCAGATAAAACTAGGTAGACAATTTATAGAACTTTTTTTTTTTTTTTTTGGAGACAGAATCTGGCTCCATTGCCTGGGTGTGGGGGTGCAGTGGGATGATCATAGCTCACAGAAACCTCCAACTCCCGGGCTCAAGCATTTTCCCACCTCAGCCTCTGAGCTGTGTGATCACAGGTGTGAGCCAGCACTGGGAGGCCCAGGACTTTTAGTAGTAACCCTATTACCCTGGCGCCAGCCTAGCTCACAGCAACCTCAAAGTCCTGGGCTCAAGCAATCCTTCTGCCTCAGCCTCCCAAGTAGCTAGGACTACAGAGGCACTCTATGATGCGCCCAGTTAATTTTTCTATTTTTAGTAGAGATGGGGTCTCGCTGTTGCTCAGGCTGGTCTTGAACTCCTGACCTCAAGTGATCCTCCTGCATTGACCTCTCAGAGTTCTAGGATTACAGGTGTGAGCCGTTGCCTGGCCACATTCTAGGTTGTTGATTGCCATGGAGTTGAAAGATTTGGGGAATGGCTTTCAAAAGATTATTTGCTATCTTTTATGCTTTGCCTATAAGTAGACCAGGTGGGGTTTGTCAGGCCCTTGATATTATTCTCAAGAGAATACCATTCTGCCTCCTTTATTCATTTTGGGCCTCCCGAGGCCCTACCAACATGGGTTTTAGTTGGTAGGTCTCCTGGAGTCATAAGTCACAATTCAGACCTTGAAACCTTAGCAAACTTCTGAAGATTTTCCCTAGGTTTAGAAAAATTTTTAACTAGGGCCTGAACTCTGTTTTTATCCAGGGAATGTAATTCACACAGAGCTTATCTCTTGAATGTTTACTTGTTTCTATCTTACAAGGAAACTGTTTAACTTTTCTTTCAGAAAAGAAATGCAATTCAGAGTCAGCAGACTGTGAA